TCCCACCGAGGGCCCAAACCAGGCCACCTGAACCTTCCTGCCATCAGCAGCCCCTCCAACCTTAAATGGGCACTAGCCCTTTATAAGCAGCCACCTGCCCTCAGCCCCCTGCCTAGCCCCTAGCCTCACCCTTTCAGCTTGGCACCCTGGATCCTCCAACCCCAAGACCCTGAGGTGACCCTTTTTTGTCACGGAAAACCCAGGCCCCAGGAAGGGGTAGCCACTTGGTCAGGGTCTCCCAGCTCCCTGGCAGAATCCCAGCCCATCCCCCCCCTCTAGGGTGCCCCCAGTAGCACCTTGGGGTCCTTCTCATAGTAGTGCTGCTGTGTGCGGATCCAGCGCCCAACGAGGTGGTCACGCACAGTGTGGGCCAGTGCAAAGTAGTAGTCGCGTGGGGTGGCCACATTGCGGTCCTTGACCAGTGTGAAATGGAGGTGCCGGTTGAAGTTCTTTTTCAGTTCAGTCACATTCTCCACGCCGGCCAGGCCACGAACGCTGATTTGCTTTCTCTTCTCATGGTCTGACAGGGGCCGGGACATGGTTGCAGGAGGGCGGGCCGGACTGAGGGGCAAGTGGACAGGCGGCCTCTGCGGAACCTCCAGCCAGGGAGTGGAGCTCCCCAGCCCAGAAGGGATTTAAAGCCTGGCTCAGAGCAGCTTGCCCCACCTCCCCTGCCATGGGAGGGTCTTGGCCAGGAGGCTTGGAGCTATTTTGGGGGCAAGAGGAGGGGAGGGAAGGGAGGCCTGTTTGCAGCCTGTACTGACCCACTTCCTACAGTCCGTCTTCTGTCCTGTTCCTGCTTTTTGCAGGTTTCCAGGCAAGATGAGGCAGGCAGCATTGGCCTGGGAGGCTGTGTCTTGGGCTAAGGCATCCCCCGCTGGGCCCCTTTCCTGAGCTACAGATGAAGTGTGGGATTGGACTGTGGACTTTTTTTTAATGTTTTTTTTTTACTTATAGGCGAACACAATACCTTTATTTTATTTTTATGTGGTGCTGAGGATCAAACCCAGTGCCTTATGCATGTGAGGCGAGTGCTCTCCCTCTGAGCCACAATCCCAGCCCCATGGACTGTGGACTCTTGCAGAGGCTGGGGGGCTGTCGCAGGGAACGGGTTTCAGGAGGCCTAGTCCTGGGTTCTAGACACAATCTACCCTCAGCAGAGCAGCAGGGCTTGCTTTACACTTTTTTGCTTTTCTTTTAATGGTGCTGGAGATGGAAGCCAGGTCCTGCTAAGTGATATCCTCAGCCCTTTAGATATTTGCCAGGAGGTGCAGACTGAGGAAAAATGAGCCCTGGTCAGGTTTATCATGACAGAGAACCTGGGCTGGGGCACCGTTGGTGGCTGCACACAGGTAGGAGGGCCGCATGTTATGGCAAGAGGGGCCAAGAACTAAGGGTCAGTGTGCCTTGAACGGAGGTGTGGCCAGCATTCAAGACACTGAGCAGCTGTGAGAAGGGGGACCAGGACCTGAGTTCCAGCAGGTGGCATGTGGGGGGGTGTTGCCTAAGGTAGGGAAACTGCCCTCACCCCACCCCTACCAAAGTTGAGCCACACTAAGTTCCCCCTGTTGCTGTCCCTCAAGGAGCTCTGCAGTGACCTTTCCGTGAGGCATGGTCAGATTACAGGCGAGCTGTGCTGAGGCTCCCAGCCTGGAGCAGGAGTCCCTGGGAACTGTAGTCCTGTGGGCCACCGCGAGGGGTGGCATTCGGGTCTCCCTGGGACCCACATGCCTTCTCTCACCCCCCCTCCCTGCCTATCTGGGGCCATGCACAGGGCAAGGATTAGTAGGTCAGGATTCACAGCTCTGTGACCTCACTTAAAAAATGGGATCTACTCTGCACCTTTCCCCCATTCAGCTTCAGGCCCCCATTCATTGCTTATGTCCTGTCCCTGACACTGGTTTGCTGTGTGCCCTTGGACTGGTCGCTTTAGCTTTCTGAGCCTTAGATTCCATTGTCTACTTCTGCTGGGTGCACATGCCTATAATCCTAATGGCTCCAGAGGCTGAGGCAGAAGGATCACAAGTTCAAAGCCAGTCTCAGCAACTCAGTGAGATCCTGTCTCCAAAAATAAAAAAGGGCTGGAGATGTGGCTCAGTAGTTCAGTGCCCCTGGGTTCAATCCCTGATACCCCTTTCAAAAAAAAAAAAATTATATTCTCAAATTGAGGCTATATAAACCCTGCCTCTTCCAGTTGCCCTAATCTCTTGAGGGTAGACTTTGGAACTTGTTTTTATTCTTTGGGCAAAGAGAACCTAGGAGTCTGTACTATTTCAAAGGCTGGCTGGGCCTCCCAGGGTGGCAGGCTAGTCCAGGGGAAGAACTGGCTTTTATACTTGAGGGCCAAAGCAGCAGGTCAGAGAGGTTTGGGCAGCTGTGGGGTGCTATTGAGTCTGCTTCAGGACAACCAAGCTGTTGACTAAGCTGCAGCAGTGCAGGCCCATTTGCAAGGCCTCCACTCTTCCACCTGCCCCAGACAGAGGGGTGTTGGCCTGCTTGTATTTGGGGGATGCGGAGGCCACATTTCCAGGAGATCAAGAAAACAATGAATAGCACTTGGGTAGACAGTGACAACTTTTTTTTTCCTTGTGGTACAGAGGATGGAACCCACTGCCTCAAGCATAGTTTCTGAGGCACTATTTCCTTTTATTTTTGGTACCAGGACACTTAAACTGAATCACATCCCCCAGGCCACTGAGGCTGGCTTAGAACTTGCAGTCCTCCTGCCTCAGTCTCCTGAGCCTCTGGGATTATAGGTGTGCACCACCACTCCTATTTCCCATTTTTAATGGAGGAAAAAAAAAAATGCCCGGTAGTTCCCTTTCACAATTCAATCCCCATCTCTGCGTTCGGCTGCACCTAGCCTCTGGCATGGCCCCGTGTAAGGTGGCCCTGACCTGCATTCTCCCTTAGAGGGTTGTGGCAGAGCCGATTTCTTGGCAGTCACCACCTGACAAGCCTGAGCTCATTATCTAGACTTTCACCACCCTGATCGTGGCAGCATGCTGGGGTCACACAAACTCCACTGCCCCTTATTGCCTCCAAGACTTAACTCAGCCTATTGCCAAGGACCCGACTCCAACAGACCATCCCCACCTTACCTGACGCAAAGGTTAGTGGGTGGGTACCTTGCTTGGTGCTGGCCCCACTCCCACCCCAGCCTTATCTTCCTGCACTCCAGGTACTGGCCTACAGGTCACCTGAGCTCTGGCTTTTCTGTGGGTTTCCCATTGTGTGGCACAACACCCTCTTGGACTGCCTCCAGGTTCTTCTCCCTGGGGTGACACCACCACAGGGCCCCACCTTTATTCTGCACACCCCAGCCCAGCATGTCAACCCCCCCCCCCAGGCTCAAAGTCACCTCCAGCTTCCCATCCTCTCCACTCTCCTTAAACTGCCCCTCACCCCAGGGGCATGAACCCTGAAAGCTCACTTTTCCACCTGAACCAAGTGGAGGTTGTTTATGTTCAGGTTTCTAAGCAGAAACTCGGCCTCCCTCCCTGGACCAATCTTGGGTTTCTGCAGGGTGTCTGGCCCAGTCTCAGTAACAGAGCCCTGATGCTGACCTTTCCCAACTGGCATGCCCCTGGCCAAGTTCGAAGGAGCTGGGATGCTCACTGCTGCAGCAGCAGAAACCAGAACAGCCCTGTCACAATAGGAGGGTGGGTCTTTCTTGCACCCAAGGTAATGTTAAGGCAGGGAGACAAGTGTTTCCCATCTTCCCAAACACTGCCACCGGGCAGGTGCTTGCCGCCACTCAACAGGACCAACAGCTTCCACTCGTGTGGACGGATGCCTTTTTAGCCACTGTTACTCTCCAAAACCTTAAAAGCTGTGGGCTGGGGGCCGAGAGGGAGGGAGCACAGGAATGGAGCTGGCCCCAGGAGAGAGGCGGAGGAGAAAGCTGGGCTGTGGTTAAGTCATTTATTGATTTTTATTTCTAAAACCCACATAGCGCCACTTTGCTGCTTCCAGAGCTTCAAAGAGCTAATTAACCGCCCAATGAGCCCACCAGGGAAACCAAGCCTGTGGGGGAAGCAATGAGGTGAAGCCAAGGTCAAAGAGGGTAGCTGGGTTCCAAGGCCCTGTCCCAACTCCTGTCAATTAAGAGCAAAGGCCCACCCTTTTCTAGTTTAGGGATCAGTTAGGGAGGCCCACCCCACTAGCCTGCTTCCAAGCACTCGTCAATCCCTGCAGCTTGTGATACAGCATCCTGGACAGGCCCAGATGGCCGGCTCTGCTCCAGGGAACAGAAGTAGCCCCAGCTCAAAACTGGAGAGCAGCCCAGTTCTAAGGTGGCTCTTCCCAGGAGTGGCATAGCCAAGCAACAGCAGCAGAGGGTGGCCAAGAGCCTCACTACCTCATGGACTTGTAACACAATTTTTCTGATGCCACAACAGGTACCATGAGAGCCCCAGACAAAGAAACAGCCAGCCTAATACCCTCCATGAAGATGTGCTGCTGACAAAGCACAAGGTAGGGCGCTATCTTGCCCCCACCACTCCCCAAGCCTACAGTGTTGGCAGCCGTGAGCCACCAGCAGAGAAAGAAAAAAAGCCACTTGGCGGTTTTAATTTTAGCTACTATGCCTGACAGGCAGGATTAGCTGGCTTGACCTTTAGTGCTGATGGCCCCCCAGGCCCAGGGCCTTAGTCAGGTGGCAGTTTGCAGGCACAAGTCACCACTGGAGCTTAGCAAATGTGGGGGTCCAAGTGCCAGGGAAAGGCCTTCAAAAGGACAAACGAGAGAGATATGGGGTAAGCTTGGTTCTCAGTGCATGAACCAGAAACAAGACAGAGACGGAGGGGCCACCCACACGCTCCACTCCCAGAAACTCAGTCTCGCAGGGAGCAGGTGGAAGGCTTCCTTAATTAATGTCCCATGGCTTCACTCCAGAAGGGGGAACAGGGGCCAGATGCTGAACACAAACAAAGTATGGCAACCTTGGGGCCACTGTGGGTGGTGGCAGAGGGTTAAAAGAAAATAAAGAAACAGACCCAGAAAACCACACTGCTCTTTTATTCAACGGAACACCCCCCTTTAGTGCAGTGTTGAATCAAACACCGAAAAAAAAGCCCAGAGAAATTTCTGTAGATAAACCAGTGAAGAGAACGCGCGTTACACATTATTGTCAACATAATCACTCCATGAAGAGGGAAGGGGCGGGGAGAGAAGCAGAACAAAGAACGAGGGGCTCAAACCCCTAGACACTGCAAAACATTCAGACATTCGGGACTAAAATAAAAGAGGAAGGCTTCCAGGAAGGAGAGGAACAAATGGATTCTGTGGCAGCTTAGGTGGTCGGGGAGAGTGGAAAGGACTCTGGGCTGGCAGGCCAGCCCAAGGTGGCTTCAGCTGTGTCCCTACTGCTGGCAGGAGTGCAGGATGGTTATGAAAAGCCACCCTTGGCAACTTCACAAGTCTCTTTGACAAGGTGGCAGAGATAAACTGCTACTCAAAAATTTAAGACAAACGTCTTTAGGGGTGGCTATGGACCCTTGAAACACTTAGAACCAAAGGACCACCCCCCCCAGCCTAACATTAATAGTCAAAGCCTGTGCCTAAAACCATTTGCTCCCCTCTCCTTGGCAAGGGGAGAAGGAGGAATGGAGAGAAGGGAAGGATTCTAATTGCAGCAGAAGACCGGGGAGAGCATCTCCTTGGACGGAGTCTGAAGAAAGGAAGAGATAAGGAAATAACAAAAGAAAAAGAAAAAAATTAATAAAAATTTCACGATATGGAGCCAGCGTGTTCCGATTCCGTCCACAAAAATAACTCAGGCTGCTTTGCCGAACCATCCTGTCCACCAGGGGCGCTGCTGAGGCTGTCTGCCTGGAAGGGTCACCAATGGGCGCGGAAAGTCCTCACTCTCATGGCTCGGGCCATCGCCGCTGCGGGGAGGGATCCTGGCGGCCCGGTTTGGGGAGAGGCAAAGGGAGTTGGGTGAGGAGAGAAAGAAGACAAAGAAGACACTCGATGCTACGGGGCGCCAGGAGAGCCCAAGCTGGCGCCCCTACTATATCCTGCCCGTTCCCAAGCGATTTCTCAGTCGCTTGGCCCAGCCCGGTGCGTGCACACACACACATGCGTGCACACACAATCACATGCGTGCGTCCCAATGTCTGGCTCCATATGGTGAGGTTCGGCGTGTGTTTAAACGAGACCAATTCTCTCTATATATAATATATATTTTCTTAAAAAACGAGTCTAGTTCTGTGGTGGAGGCGGTGGGGGAGCTGGAGGCATCCCGAAGGGTGGCATGCCCGCCACCCCCATGCCCATCATGGTGACAAAGTTAGAAGGGTCCATGGGAGGCGGAGGAGGAGGGGGCGGGGCATACATCATGCCGGCGGAACCAGGTGGCGGAGGCGGCGGAGGGGGAGGGGCCCCGGGCGGCAGAGGCGGCTGGACCCCGGGGGGCAGGGGCACCATAGTGGGGTTGCCTTGCATCTGAGGGGCTCCTGGAGAAGCTGCGGCAGCCGCCTGCTGCTGTTGCCATGGCGGGATGGACCCTGTGCCAGCGCTCGTGGTGGTAGTCGTCGTATCTGGGGTGGTAAAGAAGCCCAAGGTCACACGCGCGGGGGGGCACACCGCGGCTCTCTGCGGCTGCTGCCTTGGGATGGGGGGCGAGGGGCGCCTGCTCCTTGCTTGGCATGCGGTACGGTGGTGGGGGGCGGGCGGGCAGGGCTGTCCTGGTGATGGGGAGTGGAGGGGTGGGCAGGACTACCCTGGGGTCAGCCTCAATGTCTCTGGGCTTAACAGCATAAGCCCTTTGTCACCAATGCCCCTGGAGGGGCTGAGGGAAAAGTACCAGACTCAAGAACCGGCTCTGACGTCCCTCCGCCCAGCCGCCGCCACCACCGAACGGCACATTCAACCTCAAGGCCACAGCTGCTCTCTCCCCACTGCCCAGTCCCTTCTCTGCAGTCTCTCAGGCCCAATCACAACCCCGTCCAGAACAAGCATGCACCTTCCCACTCCGCCCTATGTACAAGACGGGCCAGCCAGCAGTTCACTCAGCTGGCAGAGCCTGGACTTCCGATACCCTGCCTACAACTGCAGGCTCCCCTCCAGACCCCCACAAATCTCTCCCCAGACACAACCACACCAAACATCAGCTTTCCTCCCCAAGACACCCCCAGGGCCAGGCGGCCCCTTCCATTTCTGCCTCCCAAATCCCCCAGCCGAGAGCGAGTCTCTTCCCAAGGTGTGTGAGCTATGAGGTCTTATTGTTCTAAACCCCAACCCTTGTCCCACCCACCCCCACAAGCCCAAAATATTGCACTCACTTTGCTGCCATGGCAAGGGGGTACTGGAAGCCATACTGCTGCTGGGCGGAGGGGGTGGCGGAGGCTGCTGCTGCTGCTGCTGCCATGGGGGAAGAGGACCAGAGGGAGGGGGCGGGGGCTGCCCACTGGGAGGCGGCGGCGGTGGCGGCATCATGCCCATAGGCGGCGGCGGCATCATACCTGCAGGTAGGTCAAAGAAGGGTGAGGCCTCAGGGAAGGAGGGGACCTGGGCCAGAGCCCCTGCTTACTTAACACAGACTTAGGTGGAGACCCACAGCAAGCAGACAATATTACCTTTTCCTTGATGCAGGCGATAGACCCCAGAGCCCACAGGCGTACTTCCCAGGTACTGATCTTGATGGAAGGAAAGAGCAGGGACTTAGCAGGACATTTGAACCAGCCAGGGAAGACACCCCCCAACATCTTCCTCAGTCACATAGCTTGAATACTACCCTTGAGACAACAGCTCTGAAAAGTCTTCATATGGAGGCAGTGCTGGACCTCCCCATGCACAAGGCACTTCTTACTCAGTCTTGCTCCTTCTAGAACCCAAGACTTGGCAAGGCCAGTAGGCCCAGTGCACTAGTAAGCCATTTTGAGAGCTGTTTTCAGCTCACAGGGACCCTGACAGAAGCCCGTGCTTACCCCAGAGCCCCAAGGTTTCTGGTCTGACACTTACTTACCCATTGGAGGAGGGCCATGGTGCCCAGGTGGGTGGGGGCCCTGGTTCATCGGTGGTGGCGGTGGCTGCATCCAAGGGGGTGGGGGTCCATTTGGGTTGTGCTGCATGGGATGTCCACCATGCCCACCTGTCAGGCTGGGTAATGGGTGTGGGAAGCTGTGGGGGCCACCTCCAGGCCCGCCAGGACCACCTCCATGCATGCCATGATAAGGCCGACTCTCTGAAGGGCCAGAATTCATCCAGGGTGGGCGGCTCTGGGTAGTGGACATGAGAGACTACGTGAGAGCATTTCCGGCCAACGTCCCTGTCTGCTCCCCCTGATGGCAACACTGTTCTTCCAGCTATGCCATAGGACCAGGATAAAAGCACAAGAGGCCTCCCAAAGTAAGAAGTCCCCCACTGGCCAGACATTCCGGAAGAACAATGTTGCCATCCATGTCCCTCACTCAGCTCCACCCAAAGCACTTGGCCATAGCTTCCAGTCTCTGAGGAAGAGACTAGGGGACCAGGCCAAAAGAACCCTCCCCCAAGGCTCACCGGTGGAGGCGGGTTGTTGGCAGGAGCAGCAGGCCGAGGTGCACTAGCCAAGGGTGTGGTCGCAGGCCCAGAGGTGGAGCCCACAGATGCTGGGACAGGAGCTTCCCCAAGTTCAGCCATCAAGGACAAATATTCTTTATCCATCCGTGCTTTATCCTGAGCTGACTGGGGGTCACCAGGCCTGAAGTGGGGTGGGGGATACAGAGAGCAGGGGAAGCTTTGAAGATTCAGCCCTCAGATCACCCTTTCTTTCTAACCTCTTACTAGGCATATAGTGTAAACAGTCCTACCAGCTCCTTGGTTCAGGGCCATTTCCTCATCTAGAGCGCCAGTGTCTGCCACAGCAGAAGCCCTGGGCCAAGAGAACTGGTGAGGAAGCACCAGGCCCCTGATAGTCATAAGAACACAGGTTCACCCTCTCCAGTTTCATCAAATCCTACTTGCCCATTATGAAAGAAAGAAAGTCTCTCCAAGACTAGGCAACTGCCAGAAAGAACCTTAGAGAAATGCTGGTGTCAAGGGCTGATTTACAAATAGTCAAATTCTGTAGTCAGTTTTGTTTTGTTTGTTTTTGATACTAGGGATTGAACTCAGGGATTCTCTGCCACCAAGCTATATCCCCAAGTTGGTTTTTTTTTTTCCTTTGGGGGGGGGGGGGGTACCAGGGATTGAACTCCAGAGCACCACCACTGAGCCACATTCTCCATCCCTATTTTGTATTTTATTAGAGACAGGTTCTTGTTGCTTAGTGCCTCACTAAATTGCTGAGGCTGGCTTTGAACTCTTGATTCTCCTACCGCTGGGATTTCAGGTGTGCACCAGCGTGCCTGGCCCCCAAATTTTGAAAAATATTTTTTAGTTGTACATGGACACAATACCTTTATTTTTATGTGGTGCTGAGTGAAAATCAAACCCAGTGCCTCACACATGCTAGGCAAGTGCTCTACCACTGAGCTACAACCTCAGTCCTATTCTTTAAAATTCTTAGAAAGGATCTCAGTTAAGTTGCTTGGACCCTTAACTTGAGATCCTCTGCCTCAGCCTCCTGCCAGCTTTGAACAAATCTTTAAGCAGCAAAGGCAGTGAACTAATATTGAGCCTCAGTGAAAACATTATAATAACCAATCTGGGCCTATGGCACACACCTATAATCCTGGTGACTTGCAAGAGGATGCCATGTTTGAGGCCAGCCTCAGCAACTCAGCAAGACCCTCTCAAAATAAAAAAGGACGGGGGATATAGTTCAGTGATAAAAATTCCCCTGAGGTTCAATCCCTAGTACTAAATAATCAGAATAGAAACCTTTTGGTTTTCTTGGACACAAGACAAACAATAAAACAGAGTTGTTCTGTAAGATTGTTTCTAATCCTCCTTAGTTTTATCAATCACACCATCACCCAACCATGTGCTAAAGAGAACTATCTTGTATGTCACTGGTTACCAGAAAACCCATAGAACAGCTAGTCCCTCACCTTTGAAACTTGCAATCTGAAGCAATGTGGCCAGCTCCTCCACACTTGGTACACACTGTAGTATTGGTAATGCTGCGGGTCTCTGAGCTCTGCCAGGGTCTTAAGATTCTGTTGAGAAGAGAAAATCAACTCAAAGGCTGTGAACACCCTCTCCACTTGCACAGCTTCTTCAGGTCTCTGCACACTCCTCTCAACTGATCACTACCTGTTATCATCTTCCCGAAGGGTACCATTCAAGCGAGCCAATTCTCGAAGCTGCATCTTCCGTAGATCATTCTGGTCCTCTGGGGTCTCAATACCTTGCTTCAGGATGTTTCTGATCTAGTGAAGACACAACGAGAAGTTAGTCATGCATAACTGTAATCCCAATGACTCAGGAGGCTGAGATCAGTCCCTGCAACTGAGATCCTACTGTAAAGTAAAAAGGGTTGGGGACTTAGCTCAGTGGAAAAGTGCCCCTGGATTCAATCCCCAGTACAAAAAAAAAAAAAAAAAGAGAGTAGCAGCTAGCCGCCTACGTGCTACGTGCCTGGGCCACCACCCAGATTTCTATTAAGAGGTTTCCTTTCTTGGCTCGTCACTCACCTGTTCTACTGCCTTTTTAACATTCTCCATTGTATTGGCAGTGACTAGGGCATGAAGTGGCTCATCTTCCCCTGGCAACATCTGGCCATCTTTGCGTCCAACCTTCCCTTCTTTCACAGACCCTTTCCCCCGGATCATGATCTTGGCGTTACACTCCTTCTCAATATTCTTCAGGGTGTTCCCTCTAGAGGCATAAAGGATTTAGTTAATACTCAAGTTCACACTCGACAGAGGCTGGGCTGGGTGCAAATTGATGGAAAACTACAACTACAGAGAATCAAATTTTCCCACTGAAAACTCTGTGCCCTTTAAGGTAAAGCTAGTCACAGCGAATCTGAGGATTCTCTTTCTCTGAAGTAAAAAGAGAATATTGACAAGAGTTCTCACAGAATGGCCTAGTTCAGCCAAAGTCAATGCCTTACTAAAACAAAACCAATGAATGGCACCCCAATTAGGCACAAGGAGACACATCTAGGCTCTAAGGAATTCTATACCCCAATAAGCTAGTGATTACTCACCTGGGCCCAATTAGTAGCCCAACAAAGTTGATTTCTGGATACTCATCTTGAGGGATCATTACTTTATCACTCACACGTGTTGCTGGAGGTCTAAAGAAGAAAGACAGTCACCAACTCTGCACATTTCCAGATGAGATCACCCAGTTTTTCTAAAACTAACCACCAGTATTATTTATGGGTGAGCTTGTACAAGTGGTGAGTAGTACCAAAACTGCCCCAGCAGGTCACATTTGACAGGCATGTAACCTTGTCCCAAGGGACCTAGTCCCTCTGCTTACTTATAATCTGCAGGTGGCTTGAAATCAGGGTTGAGGGCAACCATCTCTGTGATGAGGTTGTGCCGCTCCTCTTCCAGCTTTTTGCGGGTACGGAACTCTCTGGTGTTAAGTCGCTTCCCCTCACTATTGTAGATGGGCTCAGGGGAAGGGGACCTGTGGGAAACAGACCCCCGTTACTGCTCTGTCCCTACTTCCCTCAGTCCCACATGGACTATAACAGTCTTCCCCAGCCCCTCTGCCTCTCAGACCCTAACACTCTTCGGAGGAACCGACCATAACGTGTGCTATTTGAGATCGTGTGGAATGGGGAAATGGAAGCTGGCTTAGTATTTTGGGGACTGGGGTGTGTGTGAGAAAGGAAAAAAAAAGGTTTTGTTTCTAAAAGTGATGTGGGGGGGAGTCTGTCCTTTGGGGGAAATCTCTGGACTGTAAGTGGCAAGGACAGTTTCATCCACAGGAGTCTCCTTGCCAAATATAATTTTTCTTTCATTTGGGAAAAAAAATGCACTATCCCAACTTGGTTAACCACAGAAACCCGAGTTTAGGTGAAACATTCTCTCTTGGAGAGCTCATGCCTATCAGGAAGAGCACTTGTACCCCTGACACATAGTGAACACGAGCTCTTTCACCCAAAGCAGCTGGGACTCAAGCTATTGCAGCTACTTGGTCCCCACAATGGAGAGAGATGGTTCAAGGCTTCGTCTCTGCTTTTCCTTCAATGGCCTGGCTGGCTGTGTCCAAGGCCCAGGAGACAACCTGTTTCTGGCTGTTCGAGGTGGGGAGTCTGGATGGAGAAAACCGTTAAAGTGCTAAAGCAGCTTCTGCTAGAGCTGCAAATGCAGATTTGGTCAAATACTTGTCTAGGGTCTGAACCTGCCAACAGCAAGGGGGAAACCTATGATTCTCCGCCAGAGTTTACAAGTCCAGAAAGCAGATTATTCTCTCTCATTTTTTAAGGAGTAAAATGCTGATGCTACAAGCAAAAAAAATAGTAATGATAAAATGGTCAGTTTACCACAGCTGGATTTTGCGGTAATAAAAAAAAGAGAAGTCACACTCCTAGAATTCTGAGTTAAGATTACAAAAAGGACCATAGCTTGATATTCTGTATGAAAATTTAGTAGCAGCTGCAAGAAGGGAAAGACCATGTGGATCAGGTTATTAAAAAAACATCCTGAAAGTAGTTCAGACTCCTACACCCTTGGTTTAGTTGAGAGAACCTTGCCTAGATGGAGAGCAAGGACTGAACTCGGCTGCTCCCACTGTCTTCAGCCTAAAGGTAACCATGTCATACCACGTCACACACACGATGGAATAAAAGGTCAGGTTTGTTCATGACTAATGACGGCTAAATGACACCTCCGTTTCTAGCATTTGTATAAACTGTTAGCACAATCCAGTGAAAGTGAACACAGGCAAACATACCCCAGCTCATTAGACTATCATCTTACACATTAAGGTCTACAAGAGATTTTAAAACACCTTTAACTGTGCAAGTTAAATAACATCAAAATAGCATATGAAGTGGCTTAATTTTGATATACCTTCTTAAGAAATAATCTTATTAAAAAGTAAGAAACTTATGCATTTCCTTCCAACCTGGGCTCAAAAGCAAAACCAATCAGGCATTAGGGCCTCTTTCAAAACTAAGTGCAAGGGAAGAAAAATCCTGCTCTGGTTTTATTTCTAACATGCTTGACATTTCTATGCCCACCCCACAGCTGTCTAGAATTGAGCACTTCTGGCTAATCACCAGAACAAGTTGTACCAGTCCCAAACTGGCCATTTAAAGGCCTCACAGTTTAACCTCTTCCCAAATTGTGGAAGTGAAAGGCAAAAGCTAATAATCTAGAGGTTAGGCTGGCTGGACTTCTTCACCTGAATAGGCATCGGGCACATCAACTAAATTCTAATCCCAGTTCTCCAGGAAGCAAAGAGGTTTGTTAAAAACTCAATCCTTTAGAGGAATTGCCTGTAACCTGTAGACATTATTAAAGGGGAAAAGGCCAAAAAGACAACTAAACAGTTGTGGTCTATCACCTACAATGGAAATCTTAAAAAGAAAAAAAAAAAAAATCTTCAAAAAGAAATATAACATAACACAATCTTCCAACCAAAATCTACAGGTAAAAATATAACGGATTTATTAAGTAAAATTAGAGAGTCAACATGGAGAAATAACGAAGCTGTTTCCTGGCAAAAGGCAGCAGAAAGATGCACGTGAGTGACTTGTAAAGCCATTCTATCATCTTCCTGACTGAATGAGCCAGACTGGGTAACAAAAACCAAAAACACTACTTTTTAAAGCAAAGTCTTTTTAAGTATGCTGCATGCACTAAGAGGTATTTCAGTGAGAGGAAGGTTTACTATCTTATTAAGTGATCAGATGTTAGCTGTTCAAAGATCAGCCAATACAATTTCAGTTTAAAAAGTCCATCTCCCTCACATAAACTTTACTTTTTAGAGGTGAGAGACAATTATAAACTGAAATGACATGACCACAGCTGTTTGAGGCCCACATTCCTTAAAAAAAAAAAAAAAAAAAAGTAATTTAGGATTGGTTGCTTGCCTTCCCAAAACAGGTGAGGTAAGAATATACTGGCCCCTCCCCAAACCCCCAGGCAATGGCCAAGGCTGAAAATTAATTGGCAGTGAAGGAAGTTGGTTAGAAATCTCACCTACTTTTAAAACCACCTCAAAACCTTAAGCAGAAATAGTGTATCAATGAGCTGGTCTAATTTTCTGCCACGCTTAATTCAGTGATGCTCAAAAATACTCTTAACCCCTGCATCATGTACCTGTGAGAAAAACTACACCCTGGACTTGCAGCCAAAGCAGGCACTGAAAAGGCAGGTTAATGGCCACCTCTCACTGTCCCTCAGGGTGGGTAAATCAGGTTAAATCTACATGCTTACCAATTGGAAACCAGTTGTCCATTTTTATGTAACTTTTTATTCTTTTTAGTTAAAACTCCAATTTTCTAACTGTTGACTGACCACATACATTTACTAATTAAACCCTAGTCCCCAGAATGGTCAGACCACCAGTCTCTTTAACTAGGATTTTATCGAACTGACACAATGTTGCCACCAGTAAAATGTATTGAGAAAAAGGTAAAAGCGTTACTGTCAGCTGGTTAAAACTGTTTCCCAACCTGTCCTCAGGGTTAGGGGGGATGCCCAGGTCTCCTGTGCGCAGTTTACGAGTCAGGTCTTCTATCTGCAGTTGCACTGGAAGAAACCAGGTTAGGAAAGAAAAAAAAGGATGGAAAAAAGACAATGTTACCAAAAAACATCTCAAATCTCAACAACAAGCATGAAGAACTCGGAGACTTTGAAAGGGACGACTGATTGATCAGTGAACACATTGAGGCAAAAACCCCCAACCACCTATTGGCAGAAGTCCACTTACATCTATAGGTTATTTTTTCACTTCAAAATGGTTATCACTTAAGGAAGCAAACCGTTTGTTGGAAGAGGGGTTAGCAATAAAGACTGTTCACTAAGGCTAACATCAAAAGCAATTATCAGGAGGTGTTCACTTTTCCCTCCCCACCAACACTTGCTTATTACAATTGGCACCCCAAACCAACACCCATTGTGTGATATCACCGGTACCTGGTTCCCATCAAATTACTTGAGGGCAAGACTTGCGAAGTTAATTTTTCTTTGTGAAATATTAAACATAGCCCAAAGTGAGACCCAATTAACATGGGACAAAGAAAAATACCAGTTGAGCAAATATCATTTCAATTAAGACCAGGTTTTAAACTTCTGAACAAGCAATACATTCAATAACCAATTTGACATCTTATAGCAATTTATACATACACTTTCTGTACATCCAGACCTGTTACTAGTAAAGGTCTCCCATACCTGCGGTTTTTATGCAAACATTAAATGGAAAATCATGTTTTATCTTCATACACCAATAGGCATAAGGTGCTAGGAGTTTATTTTCAGACCTGCTATTGATGTGGAGAGTAGGTATGTAGAAGATGCAAAGTGTGGATCAAGGAGAATATACGTGGCCCTCAGGCCTTGACCTGAGGCTGTACCCAAAAGAGAGATGAGGGTTTCACAAAAGTTGCCAGAGAATCCAGGGAAATGTTACACAGCTGATTTCCCAAAATAATAGGAACTGCAGAGCCAGAGTACTTTCTTCAACAAACTAATCAACCACCTGTTTCTTACCTTTGCAGCATCTCAGAGTTCTTAGTAGGCACCTCTATCAAGGGCAAGGCTAACTGGGTTGGATTAGAGTTGAGTTGGCTCCTAGATATATTAATGTACATCTAACCCCAGATACCTTCTAATTTGAAGTACATCACACAGGGATATATACCACACCCTCACACTGAACTTCTCAAGAAATGAAAATCCATTAATACAAAAGACAATATTAAGGGCACCCTGGACAAGACACTGTGTACTGTGAGAGACAGAAGGCGAGTAAGACATGGCTCTGCAAGTTCCTTTATGCCAGACACTTCTGACTTCAGTCAATGATGTGGCAGTCCTCTCAGGTGGATTGTGGGGGTGTGGGTTCTGAGCTGAATAAATAGTTGATACTGAAATTATAAAAAGTGTTGCTATCTTCCTGGGATCAGAGGCCTGTACCAATCTCTGCTTGGATTCTATCTACACTTTGATGATGGCTAGAAACAGCCCTTAGGGCTCAGTGCATTAATGAGGCCAACAGGGAGAGGAAATCAAGTTGTAAAGAATGAGTCTGTTGTCCCCATTTTCAGGTCTGCTTGTATTCTTGTGCTATGACTCCACTAGAGGCATTCCACAAGGTTGTTAAGTCCCACACTGGTCAAATGAGACACAAGTGAGTAGGTTGGAGTAGATAGGAAGAGTGGGGAAAGTCTTGGTAGTACTGTGAAAAAGGAGATAGAAAGCCTGTAATCCCAACAACTAGTGAGGACACGCAGGAAGATCAAGGCCAGGATCAAGTTCTAGGCAGATGATATCCTGTCTCAAAATTTAAAAAGGGCCTGGAGGTGTAACTCAATGGTAAAGGACCCCTGGGTTAAATCCTCAAATCATACAGAATTATAATACCTCAAAATTCTCAACAATTACTGGATACAGTGGCATACACCTAAGACTCCAGCAACTCAAGAGGCTGAGGCAGGAAGACTTTAAATTCAAAGCCAGTCTCTCCAACTTAATGAGACCCCGTTTCAAAATAAAGTTAAAGAAGACAGGCACAGTGGTATACACCTCTAATCCAAGCAACTCGGGAGGCTGAGGCAGGACTACAGATTCAAGAACAGCCTCAGCAATTTAATTAAAGTAACTCAGTGAGACCCTGTCTCTAAATAAAATATAAAAAAGGGCTGGGAATGTGGCTCAAAGGTTAAGCGCCCCTGGGTTCAACCCTCAGTACCCAAAATAATAACTAATTTAAAAAAATAAAGTTAAAGAAAAGGCTTGGGATGTAATTCAGAAACAGAAAATGCTCGGGTGTCCAATCCCTAGTACCAGAAACAAAGCACCTCCCCGCAATAATATAAAAACCACAAAATTAAAACCCTCTCCAAAATTAAGCCATGGGGCCTTGAAGCTTTCATGGGAAGGCCACAGCCTCATAAAGCCTAAGATGTCTTTGCCCTAATTTCCTCCCAAGGGGGTGAGCGGGCAAAGAGAGAGATGTTTACTTGATTAGTAGGATATGTTATCAAGCATACTTTCTGAGACAGTTGGACAAGTATATAAAGATTGCATTAGACCTTATATTATTTTCTTAAAGTAATTTTGAGGTTAGTTTCAATCCCACTGTGGATAGTCGTGAAATATCAAGGGGAAAGCTACCACTTTTTACTGTGTATCAAGCAATATCCCCTTCCCAGCAGAGTTCTTTAGAAGTAAATACAAGAGCCTTCATCTTAAGACAGCTCTCCAGAGGCCAAACCAGAAGATGCTGAAGGGAAGGTTAAATTCAAGAAAATGGTAAAAAGGGGTGAACTGTAAACACACTGTCAAGGAACACTGTTCAAACTGAGTTTTTGTTTTTGTTTTTTTCCTTTTCAGAAAGAACCTATAAAAAGTAAAACCACATTTTAGGGAAAGGGAGAAATATGAAATTATGGTGAAAGGCCATGCTGTGAAAAAGGTACTTGGTTTACAATACCTGCAGTGTTCTCCACTGGGGCCTGTCCAGAGAGGCAGACAAGACACTCACCTCACCAACTGGTAATGAACAGCAGCTGAAAAAGGTGGGCTGCTGGAATGGGGACTATTCTCATTCCTAAATGGGGCCCTCGACCCTTCCTGGCACTCGTGGAGAACACTGCTGTTATGAACAGACCAAAACAAGGAACTACAAATGCAACACTTGCTGAGCAAAACCTGACATTATACCAATGACATGAGAATACATCTGACCATATCTTGTCTCTATAACAATAATAATAATAAAAAAAAAACTATAGGACTTTCGACAGATATAGCACTCAGAATAAATAATCATCTAAAAATACACTTGGATACAGAACGTGTATTTACCTATGTAAGCTCTTTCTTGTTCCCGAGTAAGTCCAGGGGGAATAACAGTAGGCATTCCTGGAATCACTGTCTTCTGTTCCATTGTATCTTGATTCCATCTGCTCCGTTTCCGCTTCTTACTTGGGAAGTCTAAAGGCAGACAAAGACCATCAGGTGCAAATATAAGCCTGCACAGTATTACCAACAGGCAATTCAGGTTTCTTAGGATATATACGCAGAATGTCAGCACACTCTGAAACTGAGAACTCCACTTAAGATTTAAATGGCAAAGAATGGAAAAACAAACTTCAAAGGTCAGAGATGAAAACACGGCCACTACAAGGGTACTTGGTTCTGGGTCAGGAAAGTTGATATTTCACATTTCAAAATTTTTTCTAGAAGGGCTGGGGTTGTGGCTCAGTGGTAGAGCCCTTGCCTAGCTTGTGTGAGGCACAGGGTTTGATTCTCAGCACTGCATGTAAATGAATGAATAAAAGATCCATCAACAACTAAAAAACATATACACATATTTTTTTTTTTGTTTAGAAGAACACTGTAAAGCATGTGAACAGCTTTTTTCCAGTGATGGGTATGGAACCCAAGTTCCATATAAAGTATTATAAACACACACACTATTATTTACAAATGACTAATGGTCCAGCAGAGACAAGACTGAAGAATTAGTCTATAAAGCAGTACTGAGAACTGCCGGCTCTTCCCAATTCTACCTCCCCCTGTCCCAGTCACCTTTCTAAAGAGATCAGGGGGCTGGGGATATAGCTTAGTTGGTAGAGTGCTTGCCCCACATGCACAAGGGCCCTGGGTTCAATCTCTAGCACCACAAAAAAAGGAATCAGCCTCTAAAGAGATCAGAGCACAACCAAACCAAATTACTAAATGAAAAGGCCTGATTTTTTTCACCAGGAAAAAGGTGCAGCCCAGACTAGCATTCAATTTCCCTGATCAGTTGGGCCGACAGGATCAGAACTCTTAAATATCAAATTCAACAAGACACAAACTCTCATTCCCCGATACATGCCATTTCCCTACACGTAGCACGTCGTACGTACACTTCCAAAGGGTACAAGCCCAGAGAGAAACCCTTTTTAAAACTAAGTGGAAAACTGATCACACTGAGAAATCTTAGGGTAAATAAAGGAAAATCAAGTGCCAAAAAAGATCGGACCCAATCACCACCTGAAGCCTTCCAACCTCTTCCACATTAGTGGAAACACAGTTTATTGTAAAAAATAGATTCCTCTAAGACCAGAATGGGAGCTGCTCCTCGTCGTCAGTGAACCCCTCCCCAGCCTTCACCCTTACACTCTGCACCTGCGTGGACCCCAGGTCCTTTGGTTTGGGCGGCCCAAGGCCGCAGCCAAGCTGCGCCTGCGCACCTCCCGCCCTTCCTCCCCCGCCCTCCCCAGCGCGCAAGCGCGCTCGAGGCCCCGTGAACCAGGCCGCGCGCACCCTGGGGCGCCTCCGCCTGGGCCTCCCCGTGCGCGCGCCCGCGCGCGCGCCCCTGCCGCGTGCAGCCGCCGTCGCCGCCGCAGCGCGCCCCTCCGCCGGCCGGGCCGGTCCGCGCGACGCCTCTCGCGCTGTCGGCCCGACTCACCTCCTCCGCCGCCGGCCGGGCCCGGCTGCTGGTCCTGACGCGGCGGCTGCGGCGGCGACACGCGCTGGTAGAGCGACGGCGCGGGGGGCGGCTGCGGCGGCGGGTACGAGGCGCCAGGGGACGGCGGCGGTGGCGGCGGCGGCGGCTGATGGGGAGGCGGGGGGGGCGGCGGCGGCGGCGGTGGCGGCGGTAGCGCCGCGAAGGAGAAGGCCGCGGTCAGGGCTCCCATCGAGCCCGGGGGCGGCGGCGGCCTGGGCGCCAGCAGCCCCGCCCCAGGCGCGGGCGGAGGCCCCGGATCGAAGCCCCCTTTGGGCCCGGGAAGCGGGGGGAGGCCGGCGGGCCCCAGCTTACCCAGCGGCGTGGCGTTCGCTCCGGTCGCCATGGCGCCCCCGGAGACCGGCACCGGCGGCGGCTCTTCCTCGGCGGCGGCTTCTCCTTCGCGAACCTTCCGGGGGGGAGGGGACCCGACTACGCTGCCGAGGAGCGCGCGGAGCTCGTCCTCTCACGCGGCGGGCGGCGGCGGCGCGAGACGCACAAAGAGGGAGGAGAGAGAGTGCCGCGGGGGCGGGTTGGGGGCGACGGGGCCGCGGCCTGGATTGGGCCGGGCAGAGGCAAGGGGTCGAAGCCGGCGGCCTCCGATTGGCGGAGCGCTAGTCCTTCTTGATGCGCGCTGCGATTGGCCAAACCGTTAGGCCAGGCGAGGAAATGGCGGCGGACCCCGGTGGGCTGGGAGGTGTCGCAGCGCGCACTTCCATTTGTTACTGCGCGGACTGAGCTCGCAGGCCAGGAAAGAGGGGATAGGATGGGGCAAACTCTATGACGTAGGGCCAGAGAACTCCCTCATTGGCTGCAGGTGATGGAGTCAATCAATCGCGTTTGCCTCGTAGTGTCGTGTGATTGGCTGACTCTACTTGGAGCCTCTCTCCACTCTCCTCCCCCAGGGAGCAGTTGCGCCGGGATTAGACGAGAAGTCGCGGCGGAAAAGCCCGGGTCAGAACGAGAGTTGCGGCGGGGGAGGGGTGGGGCAGAGAGTGCGCACGCGTACATCAGGGCAAAGCGGCCTCTCCGCTTCTTCCTCCACTGGAGACCCTTGGATCTGGAGCGGAAGCCTTACGTGACGTCAGTCCTTGTTCCTGTGGTAACCGGGAATAGTGGGGCCCGAGCGGAGGAGGGGCAGGCTCTAGGCAAACCGGATCTGTTGACGCCGCAGGTGGAAGGGACTTCCTGTTTTCTATGAAAAAACTAATAGGCCTATAAAATAGGGTATCCTCGTGGAAGGATTCAAAACAGTGTCAGAGCCGGGCGTGGTGTTGGCGCACTTCTGCAATCCTAACTACTTGGGAAGCTGAGGCAGAAGGATCACATATTCCAAGGCCAATCTCCAAACTAAAAGGGCTGGGAAGGCAGCACAATGGTAAATCGCCCCTGGGTTCAATCCCTAGTACCAAGGAAGTAAGTAAAGGTGGGGTGGGGCGGAGGGACTACAAGGACAGGAAAAAGATATTCGGTTTTTTTATACATTATTTTTCAATAGTAGTTGAATACCTTTATTATTTTTACGTGATGCTGAGGATCGAACCCAGGGCCTCGCACGTGCTAGGCGAGCACTCTACCGCTGAGCCACAACCCCAGCCCCAGGAAAAAGATATTCTTGATAAGCAAAAAATTAAAATTGTATGTAAAAGTCACGGGGGGGGGGCGGGGGGCGGTTACCACATTTTACAGATAAAAGCCAATATTGGGAAGGACATGGTGGTAAATGCTTGTAATCCCCACCACGAGAGAGACTGAGGCAGGAAAATTGCAAATTTGAGGCCAGCTTGAGCAGTTTAGCAAGACCTTGTCTCAAAATGGAGATGTAACTCAGTAGCACAGTGCTTGCCTAGTTCACAGAAGAGTCTTGGTTTCATTCCCAGCACCACATAAAAATAAATTTAAAGGGAAGTGGGCTTGGGATGTAGCTCTGTGGTAGAATCATGCCAGACAAGAGTGAGACACTAGATTCATGACCAGCAAAACAAAGAAAAAGGAAAGGAAATGTGATCTCTTTTGAGAGCTGGGCACCAGGACAAGCACCTATTTTTCCAGCACTTGGGAGGTTGAGGCAGGTGGAGTCCAGGAGTTGGAGACTAGCCTGGGTAAATAGATCAAATAGACCCTGTCTCAAAAAAAAAACAACACACTTTCCAAAACACTTTCAAAAAGTACAAAACCTTTCAATTCAGCATCGCACTGCTGGCAATCTGCCCTCAAAAATAAGACAAGTGATTATAAAATGTGTTCAAAGTCCTCTACATTTACTACATCATTGTAATGGTCAAAATTTGAAACAGTGGGTTTCCCTCAATATTCATAAATTGGACTCTTAGGCAGCCTTGAAAAGCTGTTTATCAATACCAGTAGACTAAGGGATTTCTGTGATGTATTACTATGGAGCAAAAGAAGTACATATCACATAATCTTGTCTTTGCAAAACAAAAAGCCTATATGTGGGGGCTGGGGATATGTTGGTAAGTGTTACCTCGCCTGCACAAAGCCCTGGGTTCAATCCCTAGCACCACCAAAAAAAACAAAAACAAAACCCTATATGTGTGTGTGTGCATGTTTGTACTACCCCTCAGTTACAGAACCCCACTGGGATATAAAATCTGTGGTTGCTCAGATTATACAAAATGGTATAGACTTTGTGTATAACTTGTGCATATCCTCATGTATAATTTATCTCTAGATGACCTCTCGTACCTAACAGAATGTAAATGCTATGCCAGTAGCTGTTACACTCTACTGTATTTTCTTTTTTCCTGAATATTTTCCATCCAAAGTTGGCTGAATCCATGATGGGGAACGAGTAGGTAGCTGATTGTATAGAGAAAGCTACTGAGAGTTGCACAGCACATCCCCTGTCATTGGTAAGGGATGGGTGGTGCACATCTGTAAACCCAGGTATTCGGGAGACTGAGGCGGGAGTATGGCAAGTCAAAAGCCAGCTTCAGCAACTTAGTGAGGCCGTGTCTCAAAATAAAAACAAGGGCTGGGCATGTGGCTCAGTGGTAAAGTGCACTGGGTTCAATCCCCAGTTTAAAATCATCTATTTTGAAAATGGAGAGAAGGAAAAATTATACTGTAAATACAAGTTCTCTGGAGGAGGGAAGAGCCATTTGATGTCTGAGCAGCTATTGAGTGCAAAACATGTTGGATGCTACAGTAAATGAAGAAAAATCATAGCCTAACAACGGAAAAGAAAAATACACAAATAACAGCTAATAAATAATGAACATCAGGGCTGCAGCTGTGACTGTCCCATGGGGCAGTCATTTTCACGCTTTCTGGTTATTTCAGCTTAATTGCCTCTTTTGAGCCAGGATTTTTTTTTGAGTATTTTTAAATTACCAAATTAAAATATTTTGATTATTTTTATTATGAATTTCTACTTTTGTTACAGTTATAACATTATCTTGAAATATCTAAAAAGCATGCCCCCTCTGTGGTACCAGGGATTGAACCCAAGGGCACTTAACCACTGAGACATATCTCCATCCTTTTTTTTTTTTATTGAGACTGGGTCTCACGAAGCTGGTTAGAGCCTAAGTTGCTGAGGTTGGCCTTGGGATCCTTCTGCCTCAGTCTCCAGAGTCACTGGGATTACAAGCATTGGTCACTCATGCCTGGTTGCATAGTTGTTGTTGTTTTTTTTTTTAATTTTTTTTTTTTTTTTTTTAGTTGTAGGTGGATACCTTTATTATTATTATTATTATTTTTATGTGGTGCTGAGCATCAAACCCAGTGCTTCACATGTGCTAGGACAGTGCTCTACCACTGAGTCAAAACCCCAGCCCCATAGTTGGTTTTAATGGGATATCTTCTGAGCTGTAGGGGCCAGAACTACACACAGATGTCAGACAGATGCTCCTGGTTTTATAGAACAATGTGATAGAGGGGGAAAAAAAAATACACATCTGGCCTTTATCTGCCATTCCTGACACAGAACTTCAAACATTCTTGGAATTTCCTGACAGGAGTGCCTTTTGTTGCTCAAAGTAAGCCTCTTGGGACCCTACCTGGATTAATGCTAACAAAGGGACCCATTGTCAGTCTTGAGAGCCCTGAGATAGCTTCACCTGAAAAACTTATCATCTCTGGCTGGGGTTGTGGCTCAGCCATAGAGTACTTGCCTTGCTTGTGCGCCTTGCATGTGCGAGGCCCTGGGATCCTCAGCACCGCATTAAAAATAAAGGTATTATGTCCAACTACAACTAAAAAATAAATATTAAAGGGGGGGGGCTGGGGTTGTGGCTCAGAGGAAAAGTGATCACCTAGCATGCATGAGGCACTGGGTTCGATCCTCAGCACCACATAAAAACTAAATAAAGGTATTGTGTCCACCTACAACTAAAGAATAAATGTTAAAAAAATAATAATAAAAAAAACCTATCATCTCAGCCAGGGAGGCGAAAGGGGCTGGAGATTGAGTTTAATCACATGGCCAGTGATTTAATTTATCTTGACTCTGTAATTAAACCTCAGTAGAAACTGAAAAAGGAGGGCTGGGAGTGTGGCTCAGTGGTAGAGTGCTTGCCTAGCATGTGTGAGGCACTGGGTTCAATTCTCAGCACCTTGTAAACAAACAAAATAGAGTTATTGTGTCCAGTTACAACTAAAATAAATAAATAAATAAATAGAAACAAAACTGAAAAAGGAGGCAGGGAAAGCTTCCAGGTTGGGGAATGTGGGGATGTGCCAGGAGGGTGGTACACCCTGACTCCCCAGGAAAGAAGCTCCTGGACTCAGGGTCCATCCAGCCTTTGCTGCCCTCTACCATGGAGTGAGCTCCATGGTGCTCCAAGTACTTTCCATAATTCTTTCCCCTGAACACCATGTTTGTTTGTTTTTTTTAATGTTGGCATACAAATATTTATTCACGTAAAGCCATGTTTATAGCTTCCCATTAAAGGTAATTTGTTTTGTGTGGTTTTTTTTTTTTAAAGAGAGAGAGAGGGAATTTTTTAATATTTATTTTTTAGTTATCGGCGGACACAACATCTTTGTTTGTATGTGGTGCTGAGGATCGAACCCGGGCCGCACGCATGCCAGGCAAGCCCGCTACCGCTTGAGCCACATCCCCAGCCCATAATTTGTTTTGTGTTTTGTTTGGGTACTGGAGATTGAACCCAGAGATACTCTACCTCTGAGCTACATTCCCAGTCCCCCAGACTTTTTTATTTATTTATATATTTGTTTTTTGAGACAGGGCTTCACTGGGTTGCTGAGGCTGGCCTGAAACTCCTGATCCCCCTGCCTCAGCCTCCCAAGCTGCTGGCATTACAGGTGTACACCCCCGTGCCTGACAGTTTTTGAGACAGTGCTTTGCTAAATTGCTGAGGCTAGCCTTGAACTTGTGATCCTCCTGCCTCAGCCTCCATAGTTGCTGGGATTACGGGCATGCACTGCCTTGCATGACTTAAAACAAAAAATTTCCACATTTGATACAAAAGGACGTGTGGCATCTAATGTGTTAGAAACTGAGTTGGACATTGCACACCCTGTGACTCCAACCCCCACCCTCCCCAAGAGCCAGAACATGACCAATCAATCCCTTTGCAGATTCCTGGGTCCTTCTTTGTGCCATCTCCATTCCCCTCAAACAGGCTGCCATTCGAATTTTGTACTTTACCTTCCTTAGACTTGAGACAGGTTCTTCCTAAATTGGCCAGACTAGCTTCGAACTTGGACTCTCCCTGCTTCGCCCTCCTGAGTTGCTGGGGTACAGGTGTGTGCCACCATG